TTGATATTATAAGCAAAGATAGATAGTGGCTAGCAGGGGAATCCATGACGTGCGTTTCGTCCTATTTGAGACTCACCAGATGGATGTACCTGCATCACAGAGTTGATGTTCACTCTGGGACTCGAATCCAACACCTTTCGCAATATCTAGTCAATACGCACAGTACGCACATATGTGAATAAGAGACTGATCATTTTCAGTCCTAAACATCAATGGGAAGATTCAAACAAACAATACCAAGTGAAATTAATTATTGATATCTATTATTCAGTATATATATATATATATATATATATATATATATATATATATATATATATATATATATATATATATATATTGATATTCCACAACTTCTAGTATAGAAAAGTTGTTGATACAAATGTTAACAGAATTATTGTTTGATGAATAAAAGTAAATCTTGAAGTGAAACCCTATTTACATTATAGCACATACGCTATAATTAAGTTCGTTTACAGTTAATTTTGTCAAACTCTTCAATTAAATTATTCGACAGATAGTGTTATTCGAGTAGTAATAATTTGTTGATATCTTTGTATTATTAATATAATTACCATGTTTACATGAACATATACCAGTATACTCACATATCCTTCTCTCTAGCCTAAATGTTAGTTGCTTAAATAGCACGATGAATCATTGGTTTTCCTATATGAATATGTTCTTGAATCCTCCTAATTGACTCAACTCCTCGTTCCATCCTTTTTGGATTCTTGATTCGTTTGCGAATTTGCTTGTTTGTGCTCCTTAACTTTTGTGCTCGAATTCGGTTGATGTGCTTATGGTTTTGTGATCTATTCAATCCAATAGTGAATTGTATTCGGAGCATTGTGTTGCCTTCTGAATTCATACATTTTTATTATTCATTTGATAATGGTTATCATGGCGATTGATATGTGGAACCTAAGGAATTATCTCGAAGCCGAACAACTACAACTCCAGTATTTTCTTAATTGTTTGAGGTTAGGAATACTTGATGTTCAAAAGTTTGCCAAATAGTGAATGGTACTGGATTTCCCTACCTAAACATAACGGTAATAGTTTCAAATTTATATCGTCTCAATTTATGTTATATAGTGGTAAACAGTCACAAATAGTATTAATTGAGATTCAATAGTTGTTATAGGAATGAAAACATTAGAAATACAGAAGTAACTAACAAAACAAAACTCAAGAACTCAAAGTTCACTTACTTCAGTCAACACTATGTTTATAAGCAAATATCATGAACTTCTATAGATATACACATTTTCTAGTAAGTTTCCATTTATGCTAAAACAATTTGCTGTTTTAACTCAAAAAAAAATTGAGCTTATTACTTTCATACCTGACATTAGATACTTTGTACAACCATAAGAAACCTATATATCCATCTTTTATGGTTGACTAAATACAATCTAACTACATGATCATTGCTAAATACCACTGAACAAGTAATGTTTGAGAATTGAATAGTCATCTTCTTCACCTAACTGAATGTAGTCAGTGTTTATGAGGAGAAAAGTTCACTGTTTACTCAGTGGATTAGGCTACAAGTAATCACATACCTTTCATTTATGTAACAACATATTAAATACCTGATAGTTGTAAACTAATATTTGCATTTCATTGTTTAACCGATAGGACAAGAAACTAGTAGACTAAACAGTGTTTAATTTCATTTAATACTGATTCAGGCTCTCTTTCAAATCCACGACTAATCTACATTTAATCTTTCCATATTACTTTCATCTGTACGACTATATATCACCTTAACCTACTTAACATGGTTATTTCAATTATACTTTAATGATATCATTGAAATCTATTAAAAAAATGAGTGATAACTTTAATAATAAAATAATGGAAGATTATGATATAAATATGAAATTACATAGGTTCATATACTTTAACTACGATAGATAATCTTAAATATCCCTTCCTGTTTAATATAAACATACAGGTAGCTTATTTGATTCTTTATTTTGTTTTAGATTTTTCACTAACTCTTGTTCTCTATGATTGACATTGAATGAAAGTAGTAATGGTATGTTTATAGTGTATCAGAGTACACATATATAACAGAGACCGATTGAGTGTTCTGAGAAGTATATATACTGATTCACTAAACACTTAGAAATTCAGTACACAGGAACATACAAGTACTGGCCATGTAATGATACAGTTACATTTCTTGATTTCTTACTTTTTATAATCCCACTTAACAGACTGATAAACAGTTCTCACAGAAGTATTAGATTATAAACAATTAAGATTTATAGAAGTCTGTCAGTCACTCGGCTAATTCTTTTTTTTCTTGTCTAATGAGTTTATTTGCACACAATAGACAAAATTTTGTCATTCGTGACACATGTTAACACATTATTCTGTACACAGTAAACGCTTATCTGGTTAAATCTTTTAACGTTTGGAGATAAACTTACTAATAGATTATGGTGATTTCGAAAAGATTTCGCCTTCCAGATAATTGTCACTATACAACTCATCATGCCGTATAACCGACTAGCCGAAAAAGAAAAAAACATGTTCTTAATGTAATATGACCTCTGAAAGACCTGAATGTTATTAGTTCAATGTTCTGTAATGAACGTATAACTACAAAGTCCCAAACTCGGACAGAAACGCCATTCAGTCCACATTTCATTGCAATTGTTCTTTATCTGATATCAGTGAGTAGAGAAAATGATCATTAAAATTATTTTTAATCAAGGTTCAAGTGTTATACTGAGTCTATGTTTTACTTCAAATTGAAAAACCTTTTTCTAGTAAAATCACTAATGTTTGCTTCACAGAAAAGATGCCGGACACGCACTTACCCACTTTATCTCTCACTTCAATTCACAGCTCCTATTCATCTCTAGGTTTGATAATAGGTATGAAATGTGAAATGTAAATGGTTTTGCAATATCAATAACATTATCTATAAAGTCTACTTTGATAGTTGAACTACATTCATTGGATCTTCCTTGGGTTTTACTCCTTAACAAAAGATAACTGTTGACCTTAAAACATATTTTTGCTTTTTCCCTTTATCTATATTTGATTAAAGTTAATCTTTTAAATAACCACAACGAAACAAGGACTGATTCAATAAACTCTCTAATCTATTGGGTTATTTAATAGAAAAGAAACAACTTGTTTATTTTCATAATTTACATCACAGACTGATCTTATTTAAGTATCCAATAAAGAATAGTAAACGCTAGACAGTTGGTACGTTCTATTACGAAACTCTTCAACAGTATGCATCTACGAGATCACAAGAGATAGGACTTTCAGCCTTGCGGTGAGCACGTACTTTCTAGACCATCGCTTTGGTATCCGTTGGCTTGCGTGTTTAACTTGAGTTGATTCGCGATACTAATAAACTACCCTCCAATGTCTTTGGCCGGTATCTTTCTAATATTCGACTCGGTAGAACACCACTGGACATGAATAATCTTTCCTCATTAGTCTGAAAGTTCTTAGGTTTAATCTCCGATGGGGTTGTGGATGCATACTACTGAGAAGTCTAATACTAAGGAAAAACAAATGTCTAGTGTTTCCTGTTTTTCAATGAATGTTTAACTAAGATAATTTAGTGTGCATTCATTTAAAAAGTCCACACAAATACTGTCACAATATCAAATTATTATTGAAAAAATTTAACAATCAACCAAAATCGTAAGATTATAAAGAATTCAAACTGTTTATTGTACATTCAATTTAGGTTAATCATAACTGGATTCATTTCCCCATAATAACCAAATAATTACGTAATATGAAATAAAATAATAAACACAATCAACGAATAATATAACTCTTCTAATGACTTCTATTCACTAAAGAGAATTAATGCTACTTCTTAAACATTAAAGTTTTATCAGAAGGGGGTTTTGTGAAGATTTTAGTAATTTAATATAGTTGAAATCATTAGTCAATTGACGCTAGAACACTATGGAAAACCTGGAAGCACTGGACGGCCATTTCGTTCTATTGTGGTACCAGGTCTGTTATGAGATATCAACTTACTAAAGACATTGATGCAAGGTTGCTCAATTTCGTGGATCGGTTGAAGTTAGACATTACCACCGTTGGATGCCGGCCATCTCAGTGGTCTAGTGTCCAGGCGCTCGCACGCAAGGCTGAGAGGTCTTAGGTTCGTGCTACTTGGCACTCGTCAGCAAGGTGTACCTGTAATCCTGAGGGAACGGACGCTCCCTAGCGGATACGATCCCGCGTCACTCAGCTTCACAGTCAGAGACGCTACCACTGAGCTATTTGGGCCGCAACCAACCTCCTGTAGGACTGAGATGTAATCACAATTGATTGATCACTGGGTGGTGATCAATGTCATGCATTTCAAGTCCTTCTTAGTGTTGATCGAATGCTATCGATCAAGTTGCAATGTGGCCCTCAAAGATTACAGATACACCTTGCTGACGAGTGCCAAGTAGCACGAAACCCGGGTCTAGGGTTTCCTGTTGACCACCTCCAACCACCATCTTATCTCAGTATACATAGTGCAAGCGGTGTCGAGCCACCTAGACTGGTGGCCACATTGCAACTCGATCGATAGAATTCGATCAGCACTAAGAAGGACCTGACATGCATGAGATTGATCACCACCAGTGATCAATCAATTGTGAGGTCTTAGGTTCGTATCTCGCTAGGCGGGATCGTGGATGCGCACTACTAAGGAGTCCCACAATAAAACGAAACGGCTGTCCAGTGCTTCTAGGTTTTCCATGGTGGTCTAGCTTCAATTGACTTACGATCTTAACTATATAAAACTAAAGTTTTAATTATTTTCATTCAAAGTTTTCCTGTTGGCAATGTTTTTGAATATTAAATCGCAGTTACTGATATCATAACAGTCTTCTTAATGATGGATCTTAGAAGGAAACCTCGATTTAGAATTCACTGATATTGATAGTTTTAGTATATCAATAAAATATTGTGCTTAACTAAAACAACTATTATCGAAAATCAGAACCACATAGAGTTTTAAAAGTGTAATTTGAATAGTGAGTAATCACAAACAATGTAAGTACAATATAAAAATTTAAGTAGATTAATTAGTAGTACAGATATACTTCTCAATGAATTAAATCAGCAAATAATAAAATTCAAAAATCAATAGGTTTATAAGTATGGACAATTGTCCTTCAATGAATATTGATGATATATGATTATAAATAAAATTGTGAAAATAGATAAATGATATAAAGATATACAAGTTTTACGACTAATTCTTTTAACAAATATCTTTCATTATGTTTGATACTTCATTCTTGTTCAGAAATATTCATATCATCACTGTCTTCTTCATCTTCTTCTAGGTCAGAACGAACTCGAACTGAGTGGTTATAAAGACCTTCAGCCATTAGATGTAATGCTAAGCAATTTTGTGCACCTGAAGCCTGAATGAATGAACAGAAATACAAAAGGTGAGAATTTTCACAAAAAATTCAAACTACTTTCAATATATGTCAGGATTAATACATGAAAATCATTTAAAAAATATTAGAAATTATGTAAGAAACTCAAAACACCAAACGTCAGAGATTACAGATTTCGGTGAATATTTCAGCCTACTTTTAAAAATATAAGTAGTATATAGTTTTAGACAAAAGCTTTTGAATGAATATTTAACTCTTATGACCACCTCAGCTATACGCGTGAATTTTCCTTACTGAAAACATCTATCATTCATTCTGTGAACTGGTCTTGGCAATTCCATACAGTTAAAGGTTTTTGTAGTGAACTGAAAACATCCCAATCAAAAGCTTATTTAATTTATACATACTAAGAAACTATAATATATTTGAAATTTGGTATTCCGATAAAGAAAACAAGTATTTATAAATCAGATTATAAATGTTCTTATCATTTCATTTCTTCCTTGACTTTATTTCCATTACAAACAGTCTTTTATACCAATTATCTTTTCAATTTTAATGTAATTTTTCAAACAAGTATTACTTGATATGTTTTAGTGATATTGTAAGAGCAATTTCCCACTAACCGGCCATCTACAGATAGGTGGCTTATTTTCTTTCTCAGTGTGTAAATAATATTCAAATTGTGACTATCATGTTAACTATCCAATTATTTGTATAACTTAACCCGTGTCTATTTTGATTTAGACAATACCACTGTTTCATAGTACCGATATCTGTGAAATCATACTTAAATCAACATATATTGATTACTTTCAGACTTGTTGCATCTTCCTTATTTCCTGTATTTTGTAAGCTTTATTTATTTAGCTTTTGAATATTGTGTCTGTCTGTGTTATAAATTAGGCTCACTACATGGATTTTTAATTAATTCATCCACAATATGAGGAATGAGATAGTTCATTATATGGAAAGTACTAAAAATAAATGAAAGCCCAACAGAAGTACATCTATCTCAAATGCTGAATTTTTGTGAATTTACATTTAGCCACTTAACTGTCAGTATTCCACTAATAATTCAATTACAGGCATATGTTTTTTAACAGTTATTTATAATTCTATCGGTTAAGGTTCATGATTATCCATGGATGTTACCTGATTACAAATATTACATAACTACTAATTTCCTTTTATATAAAATAAACTTGATACAGTTACGAAGATACTATTCTTCATCAAGAATCGTTACAATAATTCATATCTTGCATATTCAACATTCATTTGTTAAATGTAACTGTATCACGTAGTGATTTTGCATTGATACTAGTAATAAAGTCATTTACGCAAAATGACTGTGTTCAATTTATAACGTATGTTTATATCTTTGCGAAAGCCAACAAATTCAGGTTCTTCCACACATTTGTTTTTTTTCAGGAGAACAGTAATTCCCATGTTACCAAACTTTAGTACGTAGTTTAGAATAAAATCCCATAGTATATATTATTTTACAAAACCAAGTTCAGCTTAAGGCGAACGAATCATTTTTGAGTTCATACAGTCCTTAAGAATGTACTAACTGTTTAATTTAAATCAGGAAAATTACCTTTTTAGTTTTTGCACGTTTATTTTGGAACCATATTTTCACTTGAGATTCTCTTAAATCCAATTCTGTAGCTAACTTCTTTCGACGTAGTTCATCAAGATATCTGAATATTATTTTTCGAAAAAAGAAAAGGAATAGAAATAATGAAAATAGAAAACCTTAAGTAATTGTCAATAAAAGTTTCTTCTTGAATTGTAAGTCAAGTAATAAATTGAAAGAGGAAGCTGTACTTTTGGCTTCTCCTCCTTCTATCTGGTAAAATATATTGAACCAATTGAATGATAAGTTCATAAATATATTTATAAGTACTATTCAATCAGGATAACTACCTCTATTATCCAATAATCTAGAATCACCAGTTACGCATACCGCCTTATCCGGTACAATATAATAATAATTTAATGAATTCTGAAAATGATAATTACGCAATTCATGCTGATAACTTTTATTTCTTTTTAAGCTAATGTCTTGTTAATATATGAACGGTGTATCCAAAGTCATTTTCTGCGCCATAATGAATTGATTATAACCATTTATAACCATTGAAAATAAAATAGAAGCAGAATATAAGGAACAAAAAACGCAATAGTTTATACGATAGGTTATTTAGGTCTACCATAATACATATGTCAGGTTATTTATTGATATACTGTTTGTGTTAGATATTATTCGAATCATTAAAGGTTGCCAGGGATAGTGTTAATGTGAAGTAACAGCAGGTAGGGTTTTTACTTCATGGATTCAATAATAAAAACGTTCAAACATTTAAAGTTCCTATAATCCCACTTGTGGAATAAGATATACTTAGAGATATAAGAACATTTAAAGCATTTTCAGGGAACAAGTAAGCATCAATGTGGCGAAAAAAAGATAGGAGTAATCTTACCCCACAGACAGTTTGTGGTATATTATTCCAGAGTCTGGATAATTTACTGTTAAAGTGATTCATACAGAAAGATGATTTACAATGTGTTTGTTTCACTGATAACAAGTTACGGATGCTTTAATGAGGAGTTTCTGCTTATTTTATTACTTCACTAGATGTAAAGTATAGTTTATTAAGTATTTTGAAGAAAAAGGTCGGATTTAGTTTGAGTCTTTTCTTTCATATATATATAAAGAGAGAGAGAGAGTACTACAACTTTTCCACACAATTTTCAGACATGTGAGATATTGATTGCATGACAACCTCTCATTCAGGAGATGGTTATCTTATACTCAATAGTGAATGAAAAATAAGATTAATTATATGCATAAGTATAATGAGTAGCTTTCTGACTGCGACACCATTGTGATTGACTCAAATAACAAATCGACTGGGTCGTAAGATGATACTTTCTTGTTTAGATGGTCGATAATTAATGTGAAATATACTATTCAAAAGCAATCAAAATATTCATCATTACAATTAGTGATACCATATATTCACGAACTTTCTTACACAGACCATGTTATACCATAAAGTATGATAGTGTCATCATAGAGATTAAAACACTGTACACCATTCATATATATAAAAATATGAAACAAATTATTTTGTTGTTTATTTGTGAGAATAACCAGAACAGTACTGTTACTTATCCCATTTTCTCTAAACTATTGTGAATTTATATGAGTAGTGAAACAGTAAAACGAGATTATTTAAGTATCACTGAAAATTTGATAGCAGGATGATCAACATAAATTGCAAAACAGATAAAACGCAGCTTACCGATTTTTTTCGAACTCTTGGCTTAGACGCTTTAGTTGTGGTACCGTGAATGAGGTACGCGGTCGCTTCAAATTAAGTTCATCATGTGAACGATTCATTCTTGGTTTTCTTATTCTTGGACCTGAAATTTAAACAAGAAATAAATGTGAAAAATGTCCATTACAGTTTATGTGAAGTAATTCTTAAATTAAAACTGCTATGCAATATACCTCTTGTTGACTGAACTCGTGAGCTTCTATAAAATGTCCTTACTAAGCCGTCAATTTGGTTCATTTTTCATCTTCCAGAATTCTCGAAATTCAAACAATAAACCTTTACCAGATTAATTTGTACTTTAAATCCATATGGTTTAACTTGTCGCAGGAGGCTTATAGATTACGAATTAGAATATGAAAATTAGAGCAATATGTAAGTAGCTGTTTGAACAGTGGGGCGTTATTTAAAATTTGAATCCTGACTACGTTCTGATTATTATTCGGAATTCATCAATAAGGGAAATGTTTAAGTGAGTCTACTGCTTCACTTTATCTGTAAAAATTATATTTTCCCATTCCAACTCCATGTGACTTTACGTATTTAGTCTGTTGTAACCATGTCTAATTTTGTTACCGTTCAGTTAGTTATAATAACTAGTAAAAATTATACTTGTACTACACAACCCCAGGTTGTTAAACTGGCCAACTATAGGTGAAAGTTAAGAATGAAGCTAATTCTATGATATTTCAAATCAAGATAATGATTAATTTAAATATATCTTCAATTATTATAAGGGGGTTTTGTGGAGATTTTACTAATTTTATATAGTTAAAATCATGAGACAATTGAAGCTAGACCAACATGGAAAACCTGGAAGCAGTGGATGGCCGTTTCGTCCTATCGTGGGGCTCCTCGGCATTGTGCATCCACAGTCCCGCACTCGCGAGATTCGAATCTAGGACCTAGCGCTTAACCACTAGACCACCAAGATGGCCGGCATCCAACGGCGTTAATGTTTAACTTCATTCAATCCACGAAATTGAGCAACCATTCATCAATGTCTTTAGTGAGTTGATATCTCACAACAGACCTGGTTGAACTCCTCTGGTCACTACTCACTATTTATTTAATTATCAAGCACGAGAAAAAGAAATAATTTTCTAACAATCACAAATTTTATTTGACTCAAAAGACTGGTAAGAAGAACAAGATCATCAGAATAAAATGAATTCATTATATTTAATAAAACTTCATAGTTGCTCCGCCATTTTAACGAAACATAAATTAGCATTAAATTGACGATAAAATACAAAAATAATGATCAATTTAGCAATCTAGATCTGAAAATAGAAAGAAGGAAAAATGGAACAATCGAGATGGCTATATTCAGAAAAAACATGAACGGGGTAATAATTAAACCATATTAGTTTTTATTCGGTTGGTTACAAACACTATTTAGATAAACCCTATTTAACGGAGCTATAAGACTGTGTTCAACGGGAAAATAGAGGAAGTAATAGCACACACTTTTCAATATGTCTTCAAAAAATGGACATTCAAAAGAAATTATTATGAAGTATGCTTTGATCTTGAATAGCCAACCAAAATATTGGTCTTAGGTTTACAAACACAGTATTGTTCCCAATACAGAAGCTTCATGTGTTGTATAGACTTATTTCGGTTCCGTATAAATCCTTTCTATTCGAAACTGAAATAAGTCTATAAATTCATTTAGTATTGTTTGTTTGAATCTTCCCATCGATGTGTTAGGACTGCAACTGGTCAGTCTCTAATTGGCATATGTGCATACTGTGCGTATTACCTCCATATAGCCTTAATTCACAAGCATGGTAAGCAGAGATGGATAGTGACTAGCAGTGGAATCCAGGACGCACGTTTAGTCCTATTTGGGACTCGTCAGCTGGATGTATTTGCATCTCAGAGTTGATGTTCACTCTGGGACTCGAACCCAGTACCTTTCGCTTCAAACGCCATCGCGTTATCCACTTGGCCACTGAGTCCTGATAGCCAAATAAGTGTAGGTAAATCATCTTTCATAAGTCTCTGTAACATCAACTGTCTAGCGCTTTTATATACTTGTGGGTAATTTCTTTTAACCAATCCATAGTATATCCTTATTTTTACCGTGGATGAAGTCAAATGAATGTTTCTAGTAATCAAAACCAAGTCGGATTTTATTTTCTTGGTATATAGTTTTCTTCTCATCGTTCTTAATCTTTCAATTTTTTTCAATATTGAAGAGTTTATTATTTGACTTATTATTTAAAGAGGCTACATGTTTTTGAGTGTTGCTCTGGTTGTTAGAAGGGCAGCATTTTTACAATTGAAGAACATATGGAACTCAAAACAACTGTCAACTAATTTCAAGGTGAGAATCTTTAATACGAACGTCAAGACAGTCCTACTGTATGGAGCTGAAGCGTGGAGAACTACTACGGCCATCATCAGGAAGGTACAAGTATTTATAAACAGTTGTCTACGCAAAATACTCAACATCCACTGGCCGGATACTATCAGCAACAGCGTATTATGGGAGAGGACAAACCAGCTTCCAGCTGAAGAGGAAATTAGGAAAAGACGTTGGAAGTGGATCGGACATACATTAAAGAAATCACCAAACTGCATCACGAGCAAGAGCTAACTTGGAATGGTGAAGGGAATCGGAAAAGAGGAAGGCCAAAGAAGCCGATATGAAAAGGCTGAATAGTAACTGGAAAGAACTGGAAAGGAAGGCTCAGGACAAAGTTGGATGGAGAATGCTGGTGTGCGGCCGATGCTCCTCCACAAGGGGTAACAGGCGAAAGTAAGTAAGTAAGTACATGTTTTTGGAATTAATCAATGATTACTTTTACGACTTACAAACTATTGCATATTATTTATTACCCAACACTGTTTCCTATTGTATTTTTCCTGGGCTTTTGAGAAGATATATGATTGTATTGCAGAGAATGTTGAAGGTAAAGTAGTGAATCCTCTAATGTCATTATGAATATGGTTATAAACGAACATTTGAAATCCTACAAAGATTTTGTTTGACTTCATATGATTTTATTTAAATATTTTCCACAAGTATGTACAGATATATTTCATGATATCTATGAAAGGTTCGAGGCACTTATTGAAATATTGTAAATTGTTAATTCCATATAGTAATAAACATATCATATTAAATAAGGTGATTATTATTATTATCATTATCAAATCTGAATAAAATGGTAACTACTGTCCACATACAAAGTGTTTCAAAGAAAACATGAATTAGAAAAATCACTCAAGCGCATGTTGAATATACTCTGTCAGTATGATTATTCGCAATCACAATACAATAAAGAGATCCCAGTTCAAAATATTTAACATTCCACTTATTCGCAGTTCAATAGATACAGATTTGTATGCATGACTCTAAGTCATACTCTAAGTGTGAAAATCAAAGTAGTTGGAACGAAATTTGAACCTGAAACTTTGTAGCTGAAAGTCTAACGAAGATTCAATATTGGAATAAGTTCCCATTTTAGAAACCCATTTAATTTACATTAACTGGATATAAAAGCATTTTTATCCTCAAACCAGTTTTGTAAACTGATTTTTATTGCATAATATATATAATGTGTTAATTTCAATACAATCAACTCTGGTTTCTACAAAGGATATACAACAAGAAAAATGTTTGGACTACTGCAATAATGAGATTTGAATTACTCATGGAATTACGTTGTGAAACAGACAATTAAATTTTGAATTCATTGTAAACGGAACTAATTGTTCATCACTTATAGAGGAAATTTAACGACTCATGCCTTCTTTTGGGAATACATTCTGGTAATGAAGGGGATAAAACTTTAACCAATAAGCTATTTAGCTAAAAAAAACAACCTAACTTTAAGCAAATCATATTCTTAAACTATAAATCATCATTACTTTTGTCGGTGGTTATCTCACTACAAACTGTCAAATATTGGATTAAATATCACATATCAGGAAGTGTTAAGTAACTATTTACATATTCTTTATGAGGACATACTGTTTAAACAAAAAAGTTTCTTAATTGAACAAAACACTTGTTCATAGATTTATAATGTAAAAATAAAATCACTTTCAAAAATAATATTCTTAAAGGTTAACAATTTACCATCTGTCTATTACTGTCCTTATTAGGATAGTAAAGTACACAGTGGATACATCATACTTCATATAAGTAAATATTATCAATGAAACAAAAAAGCAATTTATATACTCATACATACACACATATACACATTCAAAATAATCCTTTGAATATTTTAATGGGGGGGAGGCGAGAATGGGAGAAGTTAATTAATTTTTCTTTTCTTTTTCTGTTATTCTATTTCTCTTTTTTAAAAAAAATAATAATAATTACTTATTATTAATTTCGAATTTGTGATTAAAAATTTAATCATCCGATTATTTGAAAAAAGAAGAAAATTTGCGTACAACAAAAAAGAAACTGAGAGAGAGAGACTAAGTGAGTGGGTGAGTGAGTGGATAATTGAGTGGGGGGTGAGTGAGTGATGGGGAAAAATACAAACGAAGAAAATGACTGAATAAAGATTATTAATTTATGCGATTGTACATTATATTTTGTTTAACTGTGTTCTATTATGATTTCTGTTTGACTACATATATATGTGTACCCATGTGTGTACATTTATATATCAAGAAAAGTTGACATTTAATATATCTTAGAAATAATTATCCATGCGTTACTGATAGATATGATCAAATATCAATTTAATAGAAAATAACTTGATGACATAAATATCTATCTATTTATCTACTTAAATAAACTGTATACATAAATATACAACCATATAGAATGTTGATACATACATATACACGCATATATGCATGAAGATATAGATATATGCATATACAATGTATATTTGTATCTATTCGTATACGGGCTATTCAATATGATAATCAACCATTAGAAATTCGTTTTAACTGAAAGATTTCATTAAACTTTACCTATTGTCTTATTTTCATAGTTTCATTACTTTTCTTCTTTAGACTAAGTTATCCCTCTGTAGACAAACACATAAATAAACAATCAAATACACATAGTATTATGAATATCTGTATGTGGATATGAATAATGTTGACAGT